CACAAAGATATAGAAAAAGAAGTTAATGTTACTAATTATATGGTGCAGATATCACGCAAATTCCTGCAGAAAAATGGTATTTTATCTTTTCCTGAAGAAAAAAAAGGAATAGAAATACCTTAAGAAACAGTAGATAAAATTATTGAATTTTATTGTAATGATGAAAATAGCAGGCTAATGTCTGGTAAAAAAGATTTTGTTAGTATAGCTCGAAGATCTCACAAGCAAAAGCATTTGATTCTTTCAAATCTAAAAAAGCTATATGCAAAGTTTAAAACCTGTTATCCAGATATAAAGAGCTGTTTTTCTAACTTTTGCTCACACCGTCTAAAATGGTGCATTAGCATCTGGTACGCATACAGTATGTGTGTGCACCTACCATCAAAATGTTAAGTTAATGATTAGTGCAGTTAAATTATCAAACAATTATCACAAGCTTATTGACATGCTTGTTTGTAGTAGGGCGAACAAGACTTGCATGATACATCGTTGCCCTTTGTGCCCAGAAGATTCTACATTAGTACATTATCTTGAAAATGAGTTGTACTCTTAAGACGATATTGATGAAGATGATGATTATTGTATAGATTACAAACAATGGAAAACAACAGACCGATCTGAGCTATTAAGTCAAACAGAAACGACAAGTAGCTTAATTGATACTTTGAAAGATAAATTACAAAACATTCTGTTCATTTTTACATTGCAAAAAGTCAAGCTGCTTCTTTAAGAAAGTTAAAAAATGAGTTAAGTAGTACTGAGGTCATTGTCCTTTGTGATTTCTCAGAAAATTACGAGTTTGTTGTCAAAATACAAAGTTTTCACTGGAACAAAATTCAAGCCACATTGCATCCAACAGTAATTTATTATAAGGAAAATAATGTCCTCAAATGTGATTCAATATGTTTCATCTCAGATGATTTACTGCATGATGTTGATATGGTTTATCATGTGATAAACCATATCAACATCATGCAAGATTTTGCTATGAAATGTACCTGGTCTTTCTTCGCAACAAGTCACGATAAATCACCCTATGAAGGTATTGGTGGGAGTGTAAAAAGACTTTAATTACTAGCCTTCATCAAACAACAACAAATCATATTTTTACAGCGTCTGCAATGTTTAATTTTTGCCAAAATGAAATCATAGGAATTAATTTTTATTACATATCCAAGGAGTCAAACACGATAATTCGAAGTGAAATGAAGAGAAGATATACAATTGCAAAAACATTACCAGGCACTCGTAGCTTTAACATTTTTGTTCCAATAAGTAACACAAAAATTGAAACTAAAGTTGTTTCTGAACAATTAGAATACTTATTTGTTTTTAATTTTCAAACTGATGTGACTATTAAAGAATTCTTGTCTAATTTAAGAATTGGTGTGTTTGTATGTTTGATATATGATAACAATCCATGGATCGGACTAGTTGAGGAAATTGATGTTGAAAATAAAGACTTTCAAGTTAGTTTCATGCATCCATGTTACCCTTCAAGGTCATATTATTGGCCTTCTAGAGATAATGTTTGCTGGGTTCCATCAACAAACTTATTGTTAATGATTAATATTCCAACAACTGTTACAGGAAGACAACACAAAATCAGTGAAATTGATCACCAGAGCATTGAAGATAGCTGGGCAAACTTTAAACCAGAGAACTAATTTGTTATCTGTCAAAGATTTTTAATTCTTATTTTTTTTAAATGTCAAAGATTGTTAATTCTTATTACTTTTTAGTTTTAATATTTTCTTATTGTAATTTAATTACTTCCATGGTTTTAGTATAATTTTAATATTTTTTTTTATTTATTATTGCAAGACTTTGAATGCAAATAAATTGGACTTAAAAAAGAAAACCCTTCCAGATTTTTTGTATTATGGAGTTTGTTACATATAGAACATTAGGAAAATTTTTTTTTTTTTGTGTACTCTTTTTTTGTACCGGCATCACAAAAAATCTTACAAAAAGTGTTACAACATTTTGAAATTGAATATTTATATAGAAGCTTAAATTTTTAAACGTTTTAGCCATGATTTTTGAGTTCCTCACCCCAAAAAGTAGTTAGAAGTTTTCATCACTATTGTACAAGTATTTCATAATTAAAGCTAATTGTGTTGTGCAATAAGCTTAAAAAATAAATGGCGCTGAAAAAAAAAAAGTCAAAAAAAGAGATTGGGACCAAGTATCAATATCTCTGAAACTGTAAGAAGTCTGATACTATGATTTGGAGTGAAGTTTTCTTTTATTAATTTAAGCTTTTACTCCAATAATTAGCAAAATCTGAGATGTTATGGTGCCGAAATTTTTTTTTTTAGTTGATTTGACACGGAATGACCCATAGACGTTTTCATTTAGGGACAATATATACTTATTACATTAAAGTTATAAAAATATATTTTACAAACAGATAGCAATGTTTGTTTATATATTTTTGATAAATATTTTCGCTTTCATCTTAAAAAAAAACAAAAACAAATAAAATACAGGAAAAACATTATTTTTAATGCCAACTTAAAACTGCTTTTTTTTCTTTTCTTTGTTTTTGAAACTTAGTTTTTTCTGCAATGCCTAATATAATAAAACTTGCTTACTGCCATTACCAAGTTG